TTTGCCCCCCTCCAAGCAGCCACCACGTCCTCCCAGTTCGGCTCGTACTGCAGGAGCGATACCGACATCAGGTCCGCCAGGCGTGTGTTGCACAGATTCCCGCGGAGCCACGATTTGATGATGTTTTGCCTCGAGAAGCCGCGCTCGCACTCGACGGTGCTCAGCGGCAGCACGGCGAGGGCGATCCAGATGCGGACCATGTTGGGGTAGCTCGTCTCCCAGTCGTCGCTGCGCAACATGTGCTTGAGGCCGGCGTGGAAGGTCTGGTCCTTGTACTGCGAGGCCATCATCTTGGTAAACGGCACCAGTTCTCGTCCCGCCTTTTTCCAGCTCACTCCTGCTCACGCACAATTGCAAATACAAGAGGGGCGGGGGCCAACGGGGAGATAAGTCAGTGGCGGTACCATATCACCAAGCGTGTAACATTGACGCACAACAGAGACGCACAGATTACCTGGAAGTACGCACTTCTCCGCACTGAACAGCGTGCGGAGAGACTGGAACCAGGCTTGGCAGAGGCGGTCTCTCTTCGCGCTTCCCTCGGGGTACGCGTCAGGCAGGAAAAGCTTCGCTCCGGTGAGGGTGTCTAGGCTCTCCATCCGCTTCAGGAGGTGCTTCACAATTTCCTGCGCAAACAGGCGGGTTACAGTGATGCATGATTCTATGTCGCCTTTTGACTTCTGTCCCTTGATGGCGTCCTCGTGCAGCATGAAAGTGTGTTTAACGGGACTTCCCTCCCCATCCATGCCTTCGACCGTCACCTCCCGCTTGTCCAACGCTCCGTGCTTCTCCATGAACTCGGTGAGCAACTCGCTATCCTCAGCGTAGTTGACGCCGTGCTCGATGTATCGCTGCTTCAGCTTGTCGCACGTGTTGTGGACCATTGATGCCACCCGGGTGATGTCCACCTGCACACGGCAAGAAGCCAACGTCAGACACGTTCGAGTGCATGAACATCAGCACGGACCTCTCTACTGCTCACCATGCGCCGTTGAAACTTGAGGTTCAGCTCGTTGAGCAGTTTCAGCACATCTGCCAGGAAAAACAGGAAGAAGTGGAACTTGAAACTCGAGACTGTCTTGTAGGCCTTCTTGTCTTGCTCCCACAACACCACTATCGCCGCCGGTAGGACTTCCACGAGCCTCCGAATCGCATCGCCACGCGCCAGCCATCGAACGTCTTTAAAACCCTGCACCTCCAGAGACGTCTCGTGCAGGATGTGTTGTAGCTCCATGAACCGGGAGTGCAAGACGATGCTCCTCCCCAAGTTCTCTGCGATGCTCCGCACGACCGTGTCGACCATGCTGAGGTCGGGCACCGCCTCCGCCGCGTCCTTCGCGGCGAGAGCCTCCCTGCAAGTGTGCAAAAAGAAGCGGTTAGAACACTGAAAAACGTTTGACAACAAGATCATACACCACCGCCAGAGAGATTTTGTCATCGCACCTGTGAGCGATGCAGTGGCACGTCACCAGGTGTGGGACTCGCAGTTTCAGCTGGGTCGCCACTCCAGCCTGTGAACCCCGCATCACGCTCGCGCCATCCGTACTGATGCCCGTCAGTTTCATGATGTCGACGCCCGTCACGGCCAAATGGGCGAGAAGTACTGTCAGCAGAGACGACGCGTCGCACTTCTCGACTGTCAGGTGCCCAAACAGCTCGGTGACGACCTCGGCGTCGCGAATGAAGCTAAGATAGACTATCATGTGCTTGCCTCTGCGCCGGTCGGTACTCTCGTCGAGTTGAATTCCTAAGAACGGAGACGCCTGGATGTGGCGCATCTGCTGCTGCCTCAGGTTGGTGACGATCGCTTCGGTAATTTCACGGAAGCCGTACCTGCACAACACAGTGAAGGTGGTATTAGTCGTAGTGACAATAAAAACACAAACCAAGAAAGAATTTCACTCACGCTGACTGGTATGTCCCTATGGACTTGTCCGGGATGTGCGGCGTCTGAAGCTCACCCAACAGGCGAACAAGATCAATAAACAGGGAGATGGGGGAATCGGATTTGCAGATAAATAGCACGACCAGCATCAGTTGTTTCAACCGAGAAGTCTCGTTGTCGTCGTTTTCGAACTGCTCAATGCCCCTCTGTGCAACCTTACCGCCTTCGGCGCGAAGCTTGGCTTTGACTGCGTCTTGATGCTTGAGGCTGAGCGCGTGCTTCCGCATTGTTTGCCGCTGGATATCAACGCCACCTTCGCCGTATTTACCAAACTTCCAGTGGGCTGGACCGTGAGCCATGCATATACTGCACTTCATGCACGGCGTCCCGTCCTTCCTCTGCGTGATAATCAGCCACTTGAATTTGTCGCGCCAAAATTCCTTGGACAGCTCGTGGAGCTTCTCCATAAGCGCGTCTGGATCAGGGACGTGGATGGTGCTCCTGGAAGGCCCAGGATCACCTGTGGGATGAGCTGCTGGTGCTGTTGATGCAGCAGCAGCCTCAACTCTAGGCTCTGGCGTGGGTCCTGACACGATGCGGACGTGAGGAACCCCCGTCTTTGCAATACGCAGCGTGCTCTGGGTATATCGGCCTGCCTTTGAGAATCGTCCCACGGCAGTACCACGTGAAGTGCTAGGCGCCGCTTGCGATCTAGGATTAGCTCTAATCCGTGCAGAGGTACTAGGGGAGACAGGCGGTGTGCTACTGAAAGCCCGTCTAGCATTAACAGCAGGCCAGTCTACAGGAGCGACATCCTGCCGATTCGGGGAAGAAGACGGTGGTACGCGTGTCGGCGAAGAGGCGCCTAACACGGCGGCTGGCTGGGAACGGCGTAGGAAATCGAGGCCCGTGACAGGTGGTTTGGGCCGTGGGGTGGGTGATTCGGCAGTTTCCGTGTCGTCCGCCATGGCGAGAGGGCGGACTTACGTGACTAAGGCGATAACCGTCTGCAATCGCTGTGAAAATGGCTAGGTAGGGCGTTTGCAAGAGGAGGCTGGAGAAGAAGGACCCCCCCGAAACCCCAACGCCCGACCACAGAGCCCTGTTGACGAACCGCGCATGGCTCCCGAAAACTGTGGGTGGCACCACTTGACTGTGGTGAACCCAAACCGCGCTTCCCGAACCTTCGGCAGGCGCCGAAATTGTGGGTTTGTGGTGCTGGATTGATGACTGTTGTACTAAACTAGCCAATCCCACACTTGTGGCAGGCCACGTACGATAGAAACACGTGGGAACACGGGGGGCGGTGTGCATGATGCATACACTCCGGTAATCACGGCAAAACACCCACACCACGCCTTGCTCACGCGTGAATCACGCCTAAGGGTAGAAAGATTCGGTAACAGACTAAACCCGAAAGTACTCCTGATGTATCAGAGGAACATGGAAAACGTTTCTGATGGGTCTGATATAGCAAAAAAGCATTTCTGAATGAACAGATTTCACTAAGTCCTGATTTCTGAATTATCAGATTAAATCAAAAAGTTACCCTCCAATATAGGACAAACAGACAAAAAATTTCTGCTAGCGACGTCCCTGTATCCTACTGCCCCACGTCCGAGATGGCAGCTGATTACTTGACCAAGAAACTCGGAAAACGGAAGTTCGAGTACTGCATGCTGCTGAATGGACAGAGCCACGTCACCAGCAGCGACACTCCAGAGGCGAAGGGGAGTGTTGGAAACAAGTAACTTAAGCGCCTCGGTCGTGTCGAAACACCAAGTCAGAAGCGAAGCGAAACATATCGAAGCATCGGCGAGTCAACCCTCGGAGGTTGAGCAACTGCTGGAGGTTACGCGAAAGTCAAAGGTCAGCGACCTTTGACCTGACAAGTACAGCGTGACAGCAAAGACGAACAGCTGACTCGCTATTGAGCAGTTGCCCGAGTCGTCACTGTATCGAACCGCAACAGCAACAGCAAAACAGTTATTAGTTATAACCCTTCATATTCCCTTGTACTCTTATAAAAGCTTGTATCTCTTTATTTTAATATATCTACTTTGCCCTCACATACCAGTGCAAGGTGGTTCACAACCTTCATTAAACGCTTCCGCTATTACACCAGTCCTACGAGGAGCTTAGTCCTGCAAAGATCCTAAGGGCTTTTTCAGCCCAACATACAGAACGTAAGAATACATATGCTTTGTTATTCAGGTTTAGAGTCGCACTAATGATGCGCACTTCTTGGGTTTGGCAAAAAAAATATGACAGCGAATCTTGAAACAGAGTGCACCACCATTTTTACGCTGGCGACCAGGTTGGCAAGAGAAGGCTTGCAAACTAAATTGGCCTTCACATCCTTGTTTAAGGACCCTGCTGAGATGTTCTGATGAAAATATCTGTTGGTACATTTGCCTAAGAAAAGACATTTCCTAATACATAAACTAGCAATGTCATATTATCGGGGTTCGAGTGTCATAGCGAAGCGTTCAATGACGAGAATCTTGCATCTTTAGTCCCTTCGTCAGCAGCCAGTGTAATCGCATTTTCCATCTCCTAGTATCACCGACTCAACAACACTCGTATATAATCCCCTTCCGTACACTCACTGTTTAATAGTCTTTCCCGCCCCGGCGTGACGGCCGACTCCCCCCGCTTTTGCAGATCGGGTAATATTACGCTCCCACGCTCTTTCCGAATCGTTTCTATTGTAGCAGCGTAGCTCCTCGCCGAGGCGCGGCGGGATTAGGTGGCTTGACAGAGACCGTGCACGCATGGGGGGTGGAACCGCGAACGAGGCGTAGATTTTTGCGACGCGTGCGCGGATACGCGCGTGCGTGGCGGGTAGTTTTTACCGCACACGTCACTAGCGCTCTCGTTCCGTGCTTTGCGCGCGGCGCGGGTGTGAGTCCGACCACGGCGTAGCGCCGCAACACGTGTCACCGCTGCCGCTACAGCTCGCTGCTACCTTCACCTCGCAAAAGGCGCTTCCCTCTTGATTTGATCAGATTAGATTGGATTTGATTCGATTTGATCCGCCATGGTGCTCGTGCTCGCGCTCGGGGACCTGCACGTGCCGCATCGAGCGGCGGATCTTCCGGCCAAGTTCAAGAGCATGCTGCTTCCGGGAAAGATCCACCACGTGCTCAGTCCGGGCAACCTCTGCATCAAGGTGCGCGCGAACTGGTTTTAGAGAATTCTCAAAAACCAGCATCAACGTGCGCGCGAACAAAATGGCGACGCCGATCTCAGGTCCGCGTCCCTTCCCATCCCTCTCCATCCCCGCCTTCGCTCGTTCTTCCCTGGTTGGAAATGCAGTATCAATCTTCATCCCCTGGTTTCCATCCCATCGGCTCTTAACGCTCACCCACATACCAGGGATGAACCCACATACCTTCTTCTCCCTCGGCCCCGCGCCTCTTCCCCCGCGCCTCTTCCCCCGCGCCTCTTCCCCCACACCTCGCCGCCTTGACAGCACGTGAACAAGTCCCCAATCCATCCGCCTGCCGATTACCCCGTCCTCGTCCCATCCGAACCACCCCCAACCCCCCATCGCTCCTCTCCGCCTCCTGACCCGTCGTCCTGTCACAGCGGGAGGTGCACGAGCATCTGCGGTCCATCTTCCCTACCCGCCCCATCCGCCCCAGCCGTCATAGCCGGCCCAGCTGGCCCAGCCGCCATAGTAGCTCCAGAATTAACACTCCCCCTCCCTTCCCCTCACCCCTTCATCCCCCGTTATCCCCTCTCCTCCACACCAGGAGCGATTTCCTCTCCTCCCTCTCCGTTGCCAAGTTCCCCATTGCCACTCCCTCCCCACTCCTCCCCATCCATCTCTATCCCTCCCCATCCCTCCACATCCATCGTTCCTCCCTGGAAGGAAGTGCATGATCAATCCGCATCCCGAGTTTCAATCCCATCAGCTCTTAATGCTCTCACCCACCTATGAACTACTCCCTCGCTGCCACACCAGGACGTGCAGAAGCATCGGTGGTCTATTCGCCTCAGCCGCCCCAGCCACCACAGCCGGGAGCAGTAGCTGCCTAATGAAGCCCGTACAGCCCCGTTCCCCCCTCCCCCCCCCTCCACCTCCCCCTCGCCCCCCCACGCCAGGAGGTGCAGGAGTACCTGCGGGGCATCTTCCCTCACCGTCGCAGCCGCCCTAGAAGCTGCAGCATCAAACCCACATCCCCCCCTCTCCCCCTACTCCATCTCTCGCCGCCACACCAGGAGGTGCAGGAGTACCTGCGGGGCATCTGTCCGGACCGGACGTGCATGTGACGGGACGAGGGGCGAGAACGACGACGACGCGCAAAGTCAACCCCACACCCCCCCTCCCCCCTTCTCTCTGCGCCTCCCACCCAGGAGGTGCAGGAGTACCTGCGGGGCATCTGCCCTCGCAGCCACAGCACAAGCCGCGGTATTAGCCCCCCTTATCCCCCCTCTCACCCTCCTCCCCCTCTCGCCCACACCTCAGGAGGTGCAGGAGTACCTGCGGGGCATCTGTCCGGACGTGCATGTGACCCGACGAGGGGCAAGTACGACGACGACGCGCAAAGTCAACCCCACCTCTCTCCCCCCCCCCCCCCCCCCCCCCCCCCCTCCTCCCTCCCCAACCCCACCCCCCCCTTCTCTCTGTGCCTCCCACCCAGGAGGTGCAGGAGTACCTGCGGGGCATCTGTCCGGACGTGCATGTGACGAGGGGCGAGTACGACGACGATGCCCAGTTCCCCGACACCAAGGTCGTTGTCGTGGGCGGCTTCCGCATCGGCCTCTGTCACGGCCACCAGGTGCGCGCATGACCTGTGCTGCTTTGGCTTCTCTCTCTCTCTCTCTCTCTCTCTCTCTCTCTCTCTCTCTCTCTCTCTCTCTCTCTCTCTCTCTCTCTCTCTCTCTCTCTCTCTCTCGAATGGTCCTGGTATTGATTGATGGGAGATACATGGGAAGATGCAAACACATGCAAACCCAGACATAACACTCGGTCTACCTAACTACCATTCCCTTACTCCCTCCCGCCCCCTCCGTCCGACCCTAAAGGTCGAACGAGGGCTCTATTAGCTGGTAGAGCTGGCCTTCGCTAAGGGGGGCAAAGGGGCCCCGCATGCCGAGCTCGTCCGCTGCTATCGCCTCGTTGGTCTTGCAGCGGAGGGCGTTGGCTTGTGCTTTTTGGAGGCACACGCTCCAGCGCTGGCGGTATTCCGTCAGCAGCTTGGCGGCCTCGTAGGAGTTGGGGGCTGCGTTGAATCGCAACTTGGCCGCCAGCTCCGCGCACTGCCGCAAGAATGCCAACACCCCGGGCGAGGGGTACCCATATGTCTCTACCGCTAGGGCATGAAAGCCCACCCACGCATTCCGGCGCGCGTATTTCTGCTCCTTCTTGTCCGCAGCTGCCCTAGCCGCCCACCCCGGTGCTCTATTGCAGTTCTCATCTTGGTGAGAAACGGGGTCCGTCACTGTCACGTCGCACATCCAAACCTCTCCCGTCCGGGGATGGCGGATTGCGACGTCCGCCTTCAGGTTTTCAACGAGAGAGAATACATAGGTTTCTTTGTGCACCGTGAATCCCGCCTCTGCCGCAATCAAAGCAATCTCGTCCCTGAGCGCATGGTGAGTCGCAATCCTTCCCCCCCCTTTCTCGCAGCGCATGAGATGGTTTGGGAGGCGGTCATCAGGGAATTTGGTGCGGTAGCGGCAGTCGCAGCGCCTGGGGACAGGTAGGGGGAGGCCCAGGCGAAATGCAGCAGCGGAGGAGAGCTGGGAGGGTCCCATCCTAAGCGAGGGTATGATGGGTAGTGCCAGCAGCCAATCTCCCGCACCAGGGCCGAGCACCGACTGCATTCTCTGGGCATGGCCAGAGAGGGGGTTGGGGCGCATCCGCCTTGCCTCGTTCATGACCCTCAGGAAGCGGCGTGTCTGAACCGCCAGCGCTAGAGACTGCTGCAGCTTGAGGCCCTGTGGGTCTGCTTTCCCGGCCTGGAGAGCTTCTAGAGCCTCGGGGGGGAGGGCTGCTTCCGCTGCTGCAAGGCGTGCAGGCAGGGCGTGCGCGGAGCCGGAGGTGGGGTCCATTAGGGGGAGGAGGGCTGCTACATCTGGGTGGAGTGCCTCGGCCAGGGAGTGCAGTAAGTGGGAGGTGCCCACCACGGACGCAAGGTACGCAGAGCTCCCTTCAACTGCAGGATTTGTAATGCCAAGCCCCCCCAATGTTACGGCCAGCGCCGCTTGCCTCCACATTCTCCTCTGTTCCGCGTCACTCCTTGGCAGCATGATATGGGCCGCGTCCAGGAAGGTATGCAGCAGTTGCTCCCCCCATGCCGCCCATTCATCCTCAGGTAGTGCCTCTAGCGGAGTGGTTCTGGCCAGGAAGGATGCTCGCCGGCCCACGCAGCGGGTGAGTAGCAGCAGGCACAATTGGGGGTCCATTTGGGCCAGGAGCGGCAAGGGTTCTGCTGCTGCTGCAAGCCTTTCCCTTACTCTGGCGGCACAGCCATCTGAGGTCCCGATTGGGCTTCCTAATATCCGCAGTCCGTCTGCTGCAATGGGGAAGCTCGGAGGGAGAGAGGCGGGGTCTATGGCGGTTGCAGACCAAGCCTCACACTTCCCAAGGTTGTGCTCGAGGCCTATGTGGATCAGTGCGGCAGTGAGGTGTGTAAATGCCGCCGTGCACGCTTCTGCTTCGCCTAGCAGCGTTATGTTGTCTGCATAGGCGAGAATGACGACCCTTGGGTGAGCTAGTGCCGTTGCGGTAAGGTGTGGGTGGATGCTTGCCGCAAAGAGCAAGGGGCCAAGAGGGTCCCCCTGGCGGACGCCTCTAGCACTTAGCAGTGGAGCCACGCCGAAGTCATGGTCGAGGTGGAGTGCTGAGGGAGTTCCGTAGGAGAGGCGGACAAGGGGCAGAAGGCTTTCAAGGGACTCGTTCTTGAGCCCCTCGAATACCGCCGCCCTTTCCACCGCGTTAAACGCGTTGGGGAGGTCAATCTGCAGCGCCACCGAGCCCGGGTTCTCCTCCAGGTATGTGCGCGCAGTGTGAATGGCCGCCTCAATCCCTCCAGCCACTACTACCCCGAACTGTAGAGGCGCGAAGTGTGATCGTGCCGCCGCCCCAGTCAGGAACAGTGCTGCCTTGGCCACTATGCGAAGAAGGCATTCGCCCACGGCTATCGGTCGGGTCCCCCCCTGCGGTTTTGTGAAGGCCAAGAGCCGTGAGGCTGTGAGGAGCTCGGTGGCCTCGCTGCTGAGTTTCCCGGCTATAGCTGTATTGGTAAGTGTGAGGAGATGGGCGAAGATGTCTGGATTTCCGAGTGCAGCATCGCGTATGTGCTCGAAGGTTGTGCCTGAGGGCCCTGCTCCCACCCCGTTTGGGAGTTTGGCTACGATGCGCCTGAAGTCGCGCGGCTCTATCGAAGGGGTTTTCTCGGGGGAGAAGGTGCGTATCCATTCTGGTAAGGGCTGGAGTGCTTGCGGGTGTCGTGCTGCTAATGCCGCGTACACTTCGGAGGAGGCAGGTGAGACCGGAGTGGCTTGGAGGGACTGTAGTGACTTGGCCAGGTTACCACGCTTGGCCAGTCCCTCCGCTCTAGCAAGGATGCCCTGAGTGTCAGGTACGTGACGTGGCTGGGCTGGGAGGGAAATTGCTTCAACTGCCTCGTCGTACAGGCCAGACCAGAGTCCCTGGCGGAAACGGAGGAGGCGATTCATCATCGCGTTCCAGTCTGGTTTGCGAGCTGACGAGGTGCGTAGGAGGATTCGCGGGAGGAAAGTCAGTAACCTCCACCCCGCGGTCGAGTTGGGATTGGCTGCCAGGTGGAGGAGTGGGGTGAGTAGGCAGACTGCGAATGATTCGCGAAGGTCTTTTGGCGGGTGACGGGTGAGGGGGGGCTGGCGACTGTCGCGCAGTGGGTCCAGGTCCCAGCCTGCGACTTGCGCGAAAAGGTCCAGTCGTTTCGCCAAGTCGCCTGGGTGGATCATTGGTGGGGTTGGAGTTGGGGTTGGGGTGTTCCTATTGGTTGCGGCAGAGTCAAATGTGATTTCTGCCGCGGTCCGATTTCCCCTCCAGGCCTGATTTCCCCCCACATTCCGATTCCTGGCTGGGGTTCGTGTTGCAGACGCGGCTCCAATTTGTTGGTCCAGGAACTCAGCCCCACGAACCAAGAGCTCCTCATCATCTTCATCAGCTTCAGCATCCAAACCTCCCTCCGTTTCGGGGTTAAAACCTGGGTCACCCTCGTCACTCTCGTCATTCTCCGATTCACCACTCTCCCCCCTGCTAGCGGCTTCCTCGCCGCCTTCCGCGCCTTCCCGGAGTAGTCGTTCTGCTGTCCTCGCATAGCCGCTCGCGCCTGTACGTCGGCCTCCTCTCCTCCCAGCTCCTCTTCCTCGGCGTCCTCTCCCGCCTACGCGTCGTCCGCCAGGTGTGCCACTCCTCGCGATTGGGCTGTGCATTACAGGCGTGCGGTTTTCGCCAATCTCCTCCCCTGCCAAGCGGGGCTCTGGCGTCCTCGGCTCACGCCTCGGTCGTGATGGCGGGGTCCGTGGGTCGCGACCGCGCCTTGGAAGCAACCGCAGAGAGCGCTCAGCTTGTTGCGCAGCCAAACCCCGAGTATGCGCCTCCGCGTTCCCAAGTGCAGGCTCGTCCTGCTGCGTCGGCGCCCGTGCGCCGTCTTGAGCGCGGGTTGTCTCTTCCGCTGCACGGGGCGGATCGTCACGCGTCTCCTGAGCAATCCCGTGCTCCCCTAGTCGTCTCCGCGCGTCTCTCTCTCTCTCTCTCTCTCTCTCTCTCTCTCTCTCTCTCTCTCTCTCTCTCTCTCTCTCTCTCTCTCTCTCTCTCTCTGTGTGTCTGTGTGTCTGTGTGTGTGTGTGTCTGTCCCTCTGTCTGTCTCGGCTGGACTGGGCGTCCGCGTTGGTGTTTGCCACGGCCACCAGGTGGGCGCGTGGCGCATGCTGCATGGTGCATGCTGCATGCTGCATGGTGCATGGTGCATGGCGCATGGCCCATGGCGTGACCTATGCTACGGCTTCTGTGTGTGTGCGTGTGCTAGCACTGGGCATCCGCATTGGGCCTTGTCACGGCCACCAGGGGCTGCTCTCTGCTTCTCTGCTCTGTGACGTTCCCTGTTGCCCGTCCTCGCCATCCCCTCCATTCCACTCCCCATTTTCTCCTCCCCGCTCCTCCTTCCCAGGTGATCCCATGGGGCGACGTTGAGTCCCTAGCCATGCTGCAGCGGCAGATGGGAGTGGACATTCTAATCACGGGCCACACGCACCGCTTCAAGGCCTATCGCCACCAGGGTCGCCTGCTCATCAACCCAGGCAGTGCCACCGGCGCTTACACCCCCTCCACCGCTGCTGCTGCCGCTGCCGCCGCTACCGCTGCTGCCGCTGCAGCTGCTGCTGGGGAGACCGACGCTGCTGCTGCTGCTGGCGGCGCTGCTGCGGCTGCGGCAGCAGCGGCGCTGCACCCGAGTTTTGTTCTAATGGATGTGGATGGGGCGCGCGTGGTGGTGTATATATACGAGCTTGTGGGCGGCGATGTGAAGGTGGATAAGATCGAATTCAAGAAGCCCGTTGCTGGCGCGCAGTGAAGGGGCGTGGGGGAGGAGAGGGGGGGGAGGGGGGGGACGGGGGGGGACGGGGGAGGGGAGGAGGGAGGAGGGACGAGCACACCTCTGATCAAGTGCCTCATGATGTGAAGGTTGATAGGATTGAGCTGAGTTGGGGAAACCCGCTGCTGAGGCAGTTATGCGAGGGGGGGGGGGGGGGGGGGGGGGGGAGACGGGGGAGGGGAAGTGCAGAAACGTATTAGTATTGAGGCGACTGAGGGGTGCCTTTTAGATGTCTCAAAAGGGATGCGAGGGCGGGTAGGATAGGATAGGATCCAGTTCAGGAAGCTTGTTGCTGGAGCCACATGCGCGGAGTGAGTTGAGGGTGAGAGGTTGGGTACCGCATGGTGAGGATTGGGGGACGGGGAGGGGTGTTGGAAACAATAAGTCTTAGTGCGCTTCTGTCGTGTCAAAACCCAAGACACTAGCGAAGCAGTCCGAATCGAAGCATCGAGTCAAACCTCGGAGGTTAGGGTAACCGCCTGGAGGTTACGGGAAAGTCAAAGGTCAGCGACCTTTGACTCGACAATTACAGCGCGACAGTTAAGGACACACAACTGACTCGTTACAGAGCAGTTGCCCGAGTCGCACTGTATCGAATCGCAACAGCAAATACAGTTATCTATCCATTCGTATTCCCTGTACTCCTATATAAAACCTTGTATTTGCTTGTTTAATTTAATCTACTTTGCTCTCACACACTAGTGCAAGGTCGGTTCACAAGTTTCATTAAACGCTTCCGCTATTACCGGTACAAATATCCTACCCAGAGTTATCCTCTGCAAAGATCCTTAAGGGCTTTCTCAGCCCAACAAGGGGGAGAGAGGAACAGGGCGGGAGGGGGTGTGATGTATATGCTGTTGCGGAAAGAGCCAAGGTGGTGGTGGTGTGGTGAGACAGACCGGGGGACAGGGCAGGGGAGCGGAATAGGTGGACAGGGTGAGACGGACAGGGTGGGGGGGAGAATGGGCAGTAGTTGATGCCAAGGTAGTGTTGGTGGTGTGTTTAATGCCGTGTAGGTTAGGTATGTCTGTCCACTGATCCCTCCATCCATCCATCCGTCCGTCCGTCCGTCCGTCCGTCCGTCCGTCCGTCCGTGCATTCAAGTGTACTGAAGAAGCGAGCAGTACTAACAGCAGTGGTGATACGGTACCGGTAGGTAGGCTTACGATACATAACAACAGAAGCGTTATCGCTACATGCAAGTGCGTATGCAGTGTTGGAAACAATAAGTCTTAGTGCGCTTCTGTCGTGTCAAAACCCAAGACACTAGCGAAGCAGTCCGAATCGAAGCATCGAGTCAAACCTCGGAGGTTAGGGTAACCGCCTGGAGGTTACGGGAAAGTCAAAGGTCAGCGACCTTTGACTCGACAATTACAGCGCGACAGTTAAGGACACACAACTGACTCGTTACAGAGCAGTTGCCCGAGTCGCACTGTATCGAATCGCAACAGCAAATACAGTTATCTATCCATTCGTATTCCCTGTACTCTTATATAAAACCTTGTATTTGCTTGTTTAATTTAATCTACTTTGCTCTCACACACTAGTGCAAGGTCGGTTCACAAGTTTCATTAAACGCTTCCGCTATTACAAATATCCTACCCAGAGTTATCCTCTGCAAAGATCCTTAAGGGCTTTCTCAGCCCAACATGGTATGAGAGCTGACAGGGGAAAACTCCAACTTTTTTTTAAGATCATTACAAGACATGGCAACAAACAAGGAAAGGAGCTCCCCTAATGGCTCCTCGGGCACTACTCCTACTCCACCGCCAGCCTCTGGCCTGCAGACAGAGGAAGGCACGGCAGCAAGACCAAGGGGAACGTCAACCGAGACTCCCACGAACCATCCTTCTGACTTCGACCAGAGCATGATGGAGAAATTCTTCTCCTTCATGTCCTTCTACGAGCAACACCAGCAGTCGGGACCTGCACAGACACACAACAGCAACAACGGAGCAACACCCATGAGCCTTGACGGGTCGTCATATGCGCGAGGGAATCAACAGCAGCAACCCACCTTCGCCCCGTACGAGCGCGGGTCGATCAGCTTCCTGCCTCAACCTTCACCTGCGCAAGACAAACCAATGGATGCTTTACAAGTTCAGTCGCAATTCGCGCATGTCCTGAAACTGCAAACATCAAGACCTTTCGACGGAAAGGACTTCTTCACCTGGTCCTTTGAATTCGAGCTGATGATGGAGGGCGCGCAGATACTCGGCTTCTTCGACGGATCCCTGCAGTATCCAGCAAACGGCACACAGTATGAGAAGCAGCAGTATACGTATCAATCGATGATGGCGTATACTATTCTACTGAGAAACATCACACCAACTCAGCAGCAGAACATTCGCTCTTACCGGAACTTCGGCAACTCGGCGGAACTCGCGTACGGCCATCTGAAGAACCTGTATCAAGCAACAGATAGTGTAAACCAGAGCAGGTTAATGGCGCAATTGACAACAGTTGAAATGAAACCAGGAGAAAAAGGGTTGGCGTATATCAGCCGATGTCGCGAATTGCGCGACAAGCTTCTTCGATGCGGAGGATCAATCTCTGAAGACGCCTTCGTGACAGTCATCATCGGTGGCCTCGGTCCTCAGTGGCGCGCCACCAAGGCAATTCTTCGAGCCCACGGAAGAATCTCTGAAGCAGCACTTTGCGGCGAAATCCACGCCGAGCAGCAGGACATGGACCTGCAAGAAGAAAGGCACAAGAAAAAGGCATTAGCACCGGAGTTCGCTTTCCATACTCAGCGACGACACAACAACTACAACAACCGACAGCAGCAGCCGAAGCCAGTACCTCCGTTTTGTCACATCTGCAAGACATCAGGACATCCACGCACGCATTGCCCGTCCCGTCAGACAACACCACAGCGACAACTGCGGCCTTCAAGCTCCCAAGTTGCTTCGACACAAGCAAGTCCGACAACCACGATTCAAGCTTCAACGACTTCAACTGGACAACCTGCACAAGGAGCAAGAAACATAGTCAACTGCATGGTCAAGATAAACGATTCTTGCATAACAGAGTCACCACCCCACTACTCACCAGAAGAGGAGCTCGACAACAGGACGCCCCGCCGTGAATCACTCCACCCGAATCTGACTTACGCCGCCATCGCTCAAAGTGAACCGTCCGGCCAAGACACTTGGTTCTTGGATAGTTGCTGCGGGCAACACATGTGCTCGTCCGGACGCTTCGTACAACGCGAACACCGACTCCAACGAGAAGTTGTCATCACGGTCGCCAACAATCAAAACCTGCGCACACGACGACAAGGAGTGGTACAGCTTCAGTCAAGAGAAACAAATGTCATACTGCACATGTCAAAGGTACTCATCGCTGAAGGACTCGGTTACAACTTACTGAGTGTTAGCCAGTTGATGGCGAAGGGGATTCACCTGGAAGCCGACAGCACCACCCAAGAGTTCAAGCTATACCACGGGAGAGGCGGCCTCTACATCGGGAAGGCAGTGCTGAAGAACAACGTCTTTGTCCTCGACTTCGTTCCTGACCTGGGCACTGCAGACAGCGACGCCATCGTGAACTTTACCGACTGGACACACCCTCCGGATCTCGACTCCGACTTCAGCCCGGGAGGTTTCTGGTACTCCCACACTATCCCTGAAGCAGAACGAACACGAGCGTTAGCAACGATTCAACAAACATCAGAAGCAGAGACAACATCGACAGCAGCAACAACATCGGCAGCAGCAACAACATCAGCAGCAGCAGGAACAACGACACCAGTCACAATCGACGAAGCACCACCAACACCCGCGCAACAGCTGAATCCGACTCAACGTGAAGTCCACCGAAGCGCCAACTTCGTCGCCAGTTTTTACTCCAACTCCGACGCATACCAACGTTCACCCGGACACCGCGCCTCTGAAGAAATCTGGCACGCACGCACAGGACATCCAAGCAACACGGTTTTAAACAACACGATAAGAGCAGGAGTTCTTGACAAAGACTCCCTACTTCTACCCGACGGCAGAGAACTCCAAAAGGCACGAGGGACTTGCCTTATATGCCCCGAAGCTGACTTACCTCATCGACCGTTCGCTCCACATCACAACCCGAGCGCTCCAGCGTACGCACCACTCGAAAAGGTCTACAGCGATATCCTCTACAATCGCGAACCAGGACAAGTCAACTACAACTACACCATCACCTTCATCGACGCCGCCACTCGATACGTCTGGCATCGTAACTTACCTAGCCGCGACATGGCACTCGCAGCATTCGCCGCCTGGCTACCGATAGCAGAGAGAGAGTTTGGAACACAACTGAAAAGCTTCCAGTCAGACGGAGGTGGCGAGTACACCTCTCAGCGCTTCAAGCAGTTCCTGGCGGAAAGGGGGATCAAGCAACTCCTCTCCCTTCCCTACGCACATCAGCAGCAAGGTGTTGCAGAAAGAATGAACAGGACCCTGCAGAACAGCATGCGCAAACTGTTACGTGGCATGCGGCTACCCAACCACCAGTGGCCAGCAGCAATGGACCATGCTGTCATGCTGCACAACTTGTTGTCGTCGTCGTCACTCCCGAACAACGCATCACCGCATCTGCTGTGGACAGGGAAGCAGGGCAGCACAAAAATGTTACGAGTCTTCGGGTGCATGGTACATTACAGACCCCCAGAAGCACGAGCGGGAAGATTTTCGCAACGGGCACAGTGGGGACTACACCTCGGCATCGAGAAAAAATACAACGCGTGGAGAATCTTCGACGTCCACACAAAAGAAACAGTAGCAGCACGAGATGTGATCTTCTACGAACGACTCACCCTTGAGACGTACCTCGCCAACTTGCACGAGAATCGGGACCTCACCAGTGGCTTTCGTGGTGACCGAGCCTTCGCGTCAGCAGCGGATGAAGCAGACTGGGATGAGCAGAACGTCGACAACGCATCGGAGGAAGCCGGACCTCTTCCGTACTGCTCCGTCGACGTGCCCATGGATGAGGATAATCCTCGCGACAGTAACAACGCCGAAGTCTTCTACCATTTCGCCGACAATGGTTACGTAACACCTGCGACAGTCAACACCAACGAAGCAGAAAGGGTAGGGCCAAATTTCATACCCGACCCAGAAGCGGGAGACGAAGCAGCTTATCCCGAGGATCCAGAACTCCCTCGATACTCACAGACTGGGCTGCAAATCCTTGGTCTCGTCACCGCAGTCCATGGCGCCGCCATTCCTAAGGAGCCTGCGACGGTTCAACAGGCTCTGGGGGGGGAACATAAGGAGAAATGGCGTGAAGCCATGGACAAAGAGCTGAAGGCACTGGAGGAGCGCAACACCTGGAAAATCGTTCCCATCAGCGTAGCACAAAACAAGACTATTCTTACCGGAAAGTGGGTCTTCCGTGTGAAGACGAAAGCTGACGGCACCATCGACAAATTCAAAGCTCGCTGGGTCGTACGCGGCTTTGACCAGGAGCACGGAAGAGATTACACCGAAACCTTCGCTCCGGTCAGCCGTCACACCTCACTCCGAATCCTCATCGCCGTCGCCGCCATGAAGAAAAAGAAACTGCGACAAATCGATGTCGCAAACGCATTTCTCTACGCACCTGTGGATGCAGAAATCTTCGTCGAACTCCCGCACGGCTCCCACGGCGAACCCAACCGAGTCTGTCAATTGCTTAAGTCGCTCTACGGGATCAAGCAGGCACCGCGACTGTGGCAGCAGTACCTACACGCCCGCCTCATCCGCATCGGTTTCAAACAACTCCCGCATGACCAGGGCATGTATGGCCTCACAAAGGGAAGTGACTACGTTCTCCTAATCGTCTATGTGGACGATCTCCTCTACATTGGGTCAACCGACGGCATCGCCACGTGGTTCGAAGGGGAGCTTCAGAAAGACCTCACGCTCACGGTCTCTTCTACCGTTACACAGTACCTCGGGCTCAACATCCGCGAGGAAGAAAACGCAATCTATCTAAGCGCCGAGAAGTACGCCGACACCGTCGCGAAACGCTTCAGCCTCACACCAAGCGCCATCTCCACGCCTTACCGCTACACGTCAGGAACCGAAAAGGGACGATCTACCCTACTCAAGCCCGCCGGCATACGCGACTATCAGAAGAAGCTCGGATGTCTTCTCTTCGCAGCAGTCACATGCCGTCCCGACTTATCCTACTCCGCGAGCCAGCTCGCCACCTATCTCAAGAAGCCTGAAGCAAAGCATCTGGCGGAACTCGATCGCGCTCTCCACTATTTCGTCAGCACCGCGACGATCGGATTAACTTATCACAAAAACGCAACTACACCGACCAAGCTAATCGGCTACGTCGACGCCGATCACGCCGGCGATACCGATAACAGGCGCTCACGCACCGGCTATGTCTACCGCCTCGAGCCTATCGGTCCTATCTCCTGGCAGTCGAGTAAGCAGGAGTTAATCGCACTGTCTTCAGCTGAAGCGGAATATATTGCACTCTGCTCAGCCACCAAGGAGGGACTTTACCTTCGCGAACTGCTGGAAGAAGCGAAGTTAGCCGAGTTACCCAGCTTCACCGTGTTCTGCGACAACCAGTCAGCAATTCGCATCGCCAACAAGAACGGCTTCGCAAACAGGACGAAACACATCGCCCTGCGCTATTTCTTCGTGAAGGACGAGATCGAAAAGGGGAAACTCGATCTGTCATACTGTCCCACGTCTGAGATGGCAGCCGATTACTTGACCAAGAAGCTCGGAAAGCAGAAGTTCGAATACTGCATGCTGCTGACTGGACAAGGCCACGTCACCTGCGGCGACACTCCAGAAGCGAAGGGGAGTGTTGGAAACAATAAGTCTTAGTGCGCTTCTGTCGTGTCAAAACCCAAGACACTAGCGAAGCAGTCCGAATCGAAGCATCGAGTCAAACCTCGGAGGTTAGGGTAACCGCCTGGAGGTTACGGGAAAGTCAAAGGTCAGCGACCTTTGACTCGACAATTACAGCGCGACAGTTAAGGACACACAACTGACTCGTTACAGAGCAGTTGCCCGAGTCGCACTGTATCGAATCGCAACAGCAAATACAGTTATCTATCCATTCGTATTCCCTGTACTCTTATATAAAACCTTGTATTTGCTTGTTTAATTTAATCTACTTTGCTCTCACACACTAGTGCAAGGTCGGTTCACAAGTTTCATTAAACGCTTCCGCTATTACAAATATCCTACCCAGAGTTATCCTCTGCAAAGATCCTTAAGGGCTTTCTCAGCCCAACATGCAGCACATTACTCAACTGTGTATTACTGTAGCATTACCCCAAAGTGTGCAAGCAACAAGCTGTTGATCTATGTTGTGGTGTGATTGGTCTGTCAGACTTATTTTAGGTGCATAGTTTGTTCACAGCACCAGGCTGAGCAACAATGCCTGAGAAGTCTGAGGAGCAGGTGCCATGCCATGCCATCTTAGCAGGTAGAAACATGCAGCCGAATGCATTAGGTAAGATACGTTTCCTGTACAATGTTGAGGAAAAAATACACTGTAGGAGCTCTGCTTATACCTAAGGGCGTGTTCCTACGGCCTCTTATCAGGGCAACCTCTTATCAAGCTCGCTACTTTTCCCCCTGAAAATTCTCTAAACCCAAAAACCCTCGCTACTTTTACCAGGCAAGACTGACAAGAGGTTTGCCTGATAAGAGCGTAGGAACATGCCCTAAGGGTACGGTACTAGGCACAAACTAGCTACAAGGTGGTTCTGATTTGTAAAGAGTCATGTACCCTAAATTATCATGTGTTGCATGCGAGCATGTGCTCGTTCCAGGACGCGTGTCAAATCAACATTGTCACGAGGGTGGTTTTGCAGGCGGTTGGCCAAACTTGGCGAGGTGCAGGGCGGTGAAGAGGGGTTCTAGGGCAGGGATGCGGATGGCATCGAGATATGAGTCGCAGTGGAAGCACCACACGGAGAGGTCCCTGCGGTGGTGGACGCACAGGGCAGTCGGATGCAATGCCATGACATGCCGTGCCGTGCCGTGCCGTGCCATGCCGTGCCGTGCCATGCCGTGCCGTGTCGTGCCATGCCGTGCCATGCCGTGTTGCATGGAGCAGAGGGTATGGAGAGATGGGCAGAAGGAAGGAAACGGAAGGCACAAGTGCTTGGTAGATGTGAATAATTAATGCTTCAGACAACCCCACGATAATTGTAAAATCATGTCGCACCATGTCATGATATGTCATGTGATACCATGTCATCCCATCCCATCCCATCCCATCCCAACCCAACCCATGCCATGCCATTCCAGAAGCCGCAGGCTTAGCTGATCCACAACGCAGCTCCACACACCACAGAGCCTCACAGAAACTGCACTGAGCGCTGAAAGGAAAAGCCCGAGCATAGGCCAATAAGAGGTCCAACATAGCTCATAAGAGCCACAGGATAGGCCAATAAGAGGTCAAGCGGAGGAGAGGAGGGGCAGGGGAGGGGCAGAGAAGCCTCGTGGGGGGCACAGAGGAGAGGAGGAGCGCACCTGAAGCCAGCAGCCAGTGGGTGGGCTGTTTCAGTGACGTGCTGCAGCATGTGGCCGCCCACGTACCGGCCACACGCCACCACTCCACACGTCAGACACACCCAGTTCTCGGAACCGTCCTTGCAACTGGTGGGAGGTGCGATGGAGGGCCATGGGAGGAGAGGCACGGGTGAGAGAGGACCAAGGTGAGGTGAGAGGACCAAGGTGAGGTGAGAGGACCAAGGTGAGGTGAGAGGACCAAGGTGAGGTGAGAGGACCAAGGTGAGGTGAGAGGACCAAGGTGAGGTGAGAGGACCAAGGTGAGGTGAGAGGACCAAGGTGAGGTGAGAGGACCAAGGTGAGGTGAGAGGACCAAGGTGAGGTGAGAGGACCAAGGTGAGGTGAGAGGACCAAGGTGAGGTGAGAGGACCAAGGTGAGGTGAGAGGACCAAGGTGAGGTGAGAGGACCAAGGTGAGGTGAGAGGACCAAGGTGAGGTGAGAGGACCAAGGTGAGGTGAGAGGACCAAGGTGAGGTGAGAGGACCAAGGTGAGGTGAGAGGACCAAGGTGAGGTGAGAGGACCAAGGTGAGGTGAGAGGACCAAGGTGAGGTGAGAGGACGAAGGTGAGGTGAGAGGAAGGGTTGAGGGGCGCGTGCATGCATGGCAAGCACCGTGCAGGCGCATCATGCCGTGGATGTTAAGTTTTCAGGCGCCTGTAATCATTGACGCGCCTGGAACCACAGAGAGGGATGCCACTGGTGCTGGTGCAGGGAGAGCGAGGGGCGATGTCACATGGGCAAGGGCAAGAGAAGGGCGGGGGCGGGTGCAAAGAGAGAGGGAGAGAGGGGAGAGAGGGGAGAGAGGGGAGAGAGGGGAGAGAGGGGAGAGAGGGGAGAAAGGGGAGAGAGGGGAGAGAGGGGAGAGAGGGGAGAGAGGGGAGAGAGGGGAGAGAGGGGAGAGAGGGGAGAGAGGAGACCCTTACAAACTAAACGAATTCCTTCCCAGCCCACCCCCCTCTCCCACCCCACCTCCCGCTCCCGTTACTCCTCCCCTTCCCGCTCTTCCCCCAAATACCCACCCCGTTCCCACATCCCAAACCTTTCGTCCCTTTCGTCCTCCCCTCCCCCATGTCCCCTTCTTCCCCCCGGCTCTCACCTGTGGCAGAGCGAGTCGAAGGGCGGAACGGAGTGCGGGGGCAGCAGCGAGGTGGCGGCGTCAGGTGAGAGCACGTGCGGGCAGCGCGTGAGCGCGCCTCCTGAGGCGCCTCAAACTCCCCCCCCCCCCCCCCTCCCCATCCCGCCCTCACCTGTGGCAGAGCGAGTCGAAGGGCGGAACGGAGTGCGGCGGCAGCAGCGCAGCGTCTGCGTCAGCGGAGAGCACGTGCGGGCAGTACGTGAGCGCGCTCACCCACATGCCGTTGTTACCAATGCCCGCTGCTGCCGCCTCTGCTGCTGCTTCCGCTGCTTCTGATGCTGATTGTGCGCCCATCACTAGCAGATCGCCCTGCGGGGGGGGGGCACGTGCGGACAGTACGTGAGCGCGCTCACCCTCTGCTGCTGCTTCCGCTGCTTCTGATGCTCATTCTGCGGCCATGAAGAGCAGATCGCCCTGCGGGTGGGGTGGGGAGAGGCGGGTGTGTGGAAATGGAAAGGAAGCGGCACTACACCAGAGCCGCTAGAGGAGATCCACCCGACAGTGACTTAGCAACCAAGGATGACTTTAGAGGTGAGCGACGGAGCTTGGTCACCTCGCGCGTCAAGATTCTAGGGCCGCTAGAGGTGACCGAGCCGAAGAAGACGAGGGTTTGCTTGAGAGATTCTCAAACGCCACGTGCTGCATGCGCAGTGGTGCTACCACTCCAAGGTACCACACACCACCCGAGCCGGTTGGTGATTGAGCCGAATACCAAGGGTGTGTCTAGGAATTCTCAAACGCAGTATGCTGCATGCGCGGTGGTGCAACCACTCCGCAACACCACGCAGGTGCCGCTACTAGTTGACAGAGCCGATTAGAGCGTTGCACGCGCGCGCAAGAAGCGGGGGCACGGGACGGTGAGATTGAATGTCAGCTGGCAGCACTCGGTGCAATCGCGGTTCCCGGTTTGTCGCAACTGCTAGAGCCACGCGCGCTACAGTCACACGCACCTCGGTCACGCCTAAGCTTTTTAGCGAGTCGCCTTGTAAGAGAACAGCGCCAGTCGCGGCGAGAGCGCCGCTACCCGCCGCGGGGCTGCCTTCCGCGTCGCCACCCGCCGCCGGTTGCTTCCCCTCGCGATGACCTCCGGCATCAGCGCCGTCCATGGCGGAGAGGCGAACGAGGCTCAGAGCACTCGAATCACGTGAAACTACTCGAGCTACTCGACTTACTCGAACCACCCGGAATTACTGGAATTACTTGCGATTGATACTACTCCCGAAATTTATATTACTCGGAATCACTCAGATTGATGGGGACCCGGGGAGCGCGGAGGAGAAAAGGAGGGTGAGAAATTCGTGCAGTTGATGTGCAAGGGTGTTGGTGGTGGTGAGGGAAGGCCAGAACAGAAAGCACATTTTACGCTTTATGGAGTCGTCCGACGCGTTTCTCTGAGTGTCGCCGCATTGCTTATCTACATTGTGTGGAGCTGCACTGCCGTATACATTGTGAGAAACAGCGAGTGAAAAGGTAGCTAGCTGGCTATCATCTTTAGTAAAACTCCACACACAAGAAAATGAACCCACATTAACGGAAGCAATGAATTTCTTATAAATGTACGTCATGATTCTCCAAAAAAAAAAACACATACAAACTAGGTACTAATTACAAGATAGATATCATCCATTCCAATCAGAATTGTCCCTTGTCAGGGGTACGGTACATGATGCGCACCCAAATCAGCGTCCTCTCTTCCCTCTGCTGCAGCAAGCAGCGAGATAACCGCCCACCAAGGAGTGGAGGTGGGGGGAAGGAGTCTGACTGATGCTAAGTGAATAGGTAGCCAGCTTGCAGCTGCTTCAAGTGGCTTGAGGAGACCAGGCGGTTCACACAAATAGGTACCGAGGTGTCACCGCAGGAAATGGCGCCGCTGCTTCGGTGCTCCCCTGCTCTCTTTATTGCTTTGATCCTTCGAGCATTTCGAGACATCCCCCCACCACATAGTTGCACCAGCTGCTCAATCCCCAACTGACAAACACAGAGGCCTATGGGATGGAAGGGAGCTTCTGTGTGCTATGTACAAGGCCGACCCCTCTGGTAACAAACATGTGAATCTCTTGCTCCAATCTCAAACATCTCCCCTTCCGTGTACCGTTGCTCCTCCCTTCCACGTCCTGCGTGCGTACGCGTTTTTCCCGCTTCCCTGCTCCTCTGCTCACCCATGGCCCATCCATCAGCCACCAATCATCATCATCCGCAGCTCAGAGAGATTTCACGCCGGACACGGCCCATCCATCCTCTGCTCACCCACGGCCCATCCATCCTCTGCTCACCTATGGCCCATCCATCACCCACCGCAACCGGCGCAACAACAAGAACACGGCCTGAGCGCTACCAATCATCATCATCCACAGCTCAGAGACATTTCACGCCAGCCAAACCAAACCAAACCAAACCAAGCCAACGGAGAACGGTGTCCATACCATTCCTGGAGCAGCAACACCTACCCCTCCCTCCAACTCATGCCATGCCACCTCAAGCTCTCCTCCTGCTCTCCTCCTGCTCTCCTCGCCTCCACCTCCAAGCTCTTGCTCCCATTCCATCCAACAACACTGCTCCCATCAGATGCTGCCTCCACCCCACGTAATCCCCCACCCATCACAAGCTCCTAGCTACTACCATCCCAAGCTACCCCCTCTCCACAGCCCCCCGTTATGCCCGTGCTGCTGCCCCCTCCTCTCACCACCCCTAGTTCTGCCTGGATTGGAGTGCGAATGTGGGAATAGCGGCGCCGCCTCTCCCCTGCCTGCCTGCTCCATGCGAGCTACCTGCAGTGCTGCAGCCTCCATGGCTGCTAAGTCCCAACCTGCCCCTCCATCTGCCCCCACCACACCATCACCACCCGCCGTTGCACCTGACACTGTCCCACCTATGGCTCCTGTTGCCCCTGCTGCACCTGCTGTTGAGCCAAGAGCCCCTGCACGCGTCCCCCTTTCTTCGCCCAACCTTCTGTTGTTCCCCTCCCCAAGCCTCTCCCCAAGCCTCTCCCCACGCCTCTCCCCAAGCCTCTCCCCACACCTTTCCCCAAGCCTCTCCCCACGCCTTTCCCCAAGCCTCTCCCCATGCCTATCCCCACGCCTCTCCCCAAGCCTCTCCTCATGCCCTTCTCCCCTGCTCTCTTGCAGAATCCTCGCCACTTTTGCCTCAGAAGCACCATCCCAAGCAGCAGCAGCAGGAGCAGCGGATTGAGCAGCACACAGCCTCTCCCACTCCATCAAACCATACATCTGCTTCGTGTGCCTCTCGCCTTCTCCTCCTCTCGTCCCGCCCACACCTGCTCCTGCTGCTCCTCCTGCTGACCCAGCAGCTTCTGAAGCAATAGAAGCAGCAGCAGCAGCTGAAGGGTGGGCGGCAGCAGCATCTGCTGATTCTCTCAGCCGCCTATCTCTTGCGCTGGGAGCAAGAGCTGTGAGGCTGGCAAAGGGATGGTTAGTGGGTCGAGCAGAGATGGGACCATGTCGCGATGACAGAGCCGCAGCAGGGAAAGCATCAGGAAAGGGAAGGGCGGGTGGTGGAGCTCGGGCTTTGGAGGTGGGGGGGAGAGGGAGCAGTGCAGAGTGGGGGGCGAGGGGAGTGGTTGCAGGGAGGAGTTGAGTGAGAGGAATATCTTGCTCCTCTTGCTGCCCACGCTGCTGCTGCTGCTGCAGTTGGCGACGATGGCGGTGATGCTGCTCCAGCAGCAGTTGCTGCTGCTCCTTCTCCTGCTGCTGCTGCTGCAGCTGCAGCTGCAGCTGCTGCCACCGGTGTTGCTCTGCCTCGCTCTGTTGCTGCAGCAGGCGCACAAACAGGTCTTGCTCTGCCTGTTGCGCTGCCACTTGCTCTTGCTGCTGCTGCTGCTGCTGCTGCTGCCGCCGCCGTTGCTCTTGCTGCAGCAGCTGCTGCCACTCCTGCTGCTGCTGCTGCCGCTGCCGCCACTCCTCCTCCTGCTGCTGCTGCTGCCACTGCTCCTGCCACTGCTGCTGCTGCTTGAACAAGTGTTGTGGCCACAGCAAGTGGCGGTGCATCGGGTCTAGAACAGCAGCCTCTGATACAGACGACTGCATCTGCTGCATCCCTGCTGCTGCTGCTGCTGCTGCTGCGGCTGCTGCAGTGGCGGTGGTGGCGGTGGTGACAGCAGTTGGTGATAGTTCCACGAGAGGGGCTATGACATGCGCTGCTGCAGCGCCGGTGACTCCTGCTCCCAACCCTGACCGCAACGACATGATCTGGTGAGGAAGGAGAGAGGGAGAGACAGCGGAGTGTGAGTGATGCAAGTATAAGCGGTAGAGAACGTCGAAAGAGGAGTGCAGAGGATTGGTGCCAGATGAGGGGATGGAGTGCATTCAGGGGATGGGGCGCATGCAGGGGATGGGGCGCATGCAGGGGATGGGGCGCATGCAGGGGATGGGGAGGGGAAGCGGCAGCATGGATGGTGCGGAGCGGAGGGGGGGTGGGATGGTGGGGAGAAGGCGAGAAAATAGGCGGGAGGAGCAGAGAGGGGAGCGAGCTTACCTGCAGCTGCAGCTGCATGGCTTTAATGTGCTCTATAAACTTGTCCAGCAGTGATGCCTTGTCCGCCTGCAATCCACGCACATGCACACAAGCGGCAAGAGGCGGGGTGATGGAATGATCAATAGATGGAGGTGCGGCAACAGAGGAAGAAGACGGAGGAAGATAGCTAAAGAACAAGAAGGTGGTTTTACTGGAAGAAAAAAAAAAGTAGGCCCAACGCATCACACCACACGCACCATACCATCAGACCGACTGCAGTAAACCACGCACAACCGCCCTGTCACCCTAAAGATCCATTTGCAACACTCTCCACCACTCTTCCCATGCAAGAAACCACCCGCCAGTTCCACCCACTCTTCTCTCTCCCTCATGGCAGCAGCTCCCGCATGGCGTTGAACCGCTTGTTGATTGATCTGGGCAGATCCCCCACCCACACAGAATGCTAGAGCCCAGCCATGCAGAGAGCCACGCAGGGACCTTCCTCCTCCCCCACAATCCCTTCCCCCCCCCACCCCCCCTCCCCTCCCCCTCCAATCCCCCCCGCACCCTCACACCGTACCCCACCTACCTTGCTGCAGTCTGGCAGCAGCTCCCGCATGGCGTTGAACCGCTCGTTGATCTTGTCTCGCCGCCGCTGCGGGTCAAGAATCGATGGCGGGGAGAGACGAGGTGAAAGGAAGATTTGTGGAATATTAAAGGTGGGGGGCGACGAGGGGACCCAGATCACACCAGGAGAAGCTTGGGAGTTTAGAGATTGGACAGAGAATGGGTGTGTTTGGAGCCGTATGGGATGTGGGGAGAAGAAGGGAAGAGGAAACGAAGCACCCACCCGCTCCGACTGACGATTTTTGAGTCGACTCAAAAGGAAGATGAGCACACGGTATGACTTTTGAGTCGACTCAAAAGGAAGATGAGCACACGGTATGACTTTTGAGTCGACTCAAAAATCGCCTCATCACACGAAGAAGGGAAGAGGAAACGATGCACCCACCCGCTCCGACAGATTATGCACACGTGCGGATCGACTCCTGACCGAGCCACCTGCTGCTGCTGCTACTGCTACTGCCTTGCCTTTTGATGCCCCTCCTCCTCCTCCCCCTTTTCCTCCCTCTCCTCGCGCCCCTCCTTCTCCTCCCCCTCTTCCTCCTCCCCCCATTTCCATTGCCTTTATCCCAGCAGCACCTGCTCTTCCCTCCTCGCCCTCCTCACCCCTCTTACCTCCCCCATCTAACCTCTCCTCCTCCTCCCCCTCGTCGTCGTCGTCCTCTTCCTCCTCCTCTTGCTCCTCCTCATCCCGCTCCTGCCCCCCCTCCGTCTCATCATCTTCCCATCGCACTCCCCCTCTTCTCTGTACACGTGCAGGGGCCTGTAACTGCCAACGCCCCGCTCCTAGGATGGCAGGCTGTAACGTAACGGGGAGTGAGGGGGGGTTGATTGGGGGGAGAGTAACAGGGGGAGAAAGCAAGGGGGGAGTGGGAGGAAGCGGGTGAGCGTGATGAGAGGGAATGACAGGGTCCCATCAATGCCAGAACTTCGAGGGGGTGATGGTGAAGGGAGGAAATAGAAAGGAAGAGAGGCGGTGGGGGAGGGGCGGGGAGGGGGGGGGGGGGGAAAGGAATGACAGGAAACGGAAGGAATCCCATCTGAGTCCTAACCTAAAAGATTCATCCTGTATTCTTACACGTGTACACATCTTGTAACAAAAACAAAAAAAAAAAAAGAGGAGCGCCTGAAGTAATACAACCCACATATCCATGTGTCCTCCTGCAATAGAATGCGCGATCGCAGCCCATCTCCTTTGCACACTCACCCCTGGGCTGTGCAGAACGCCTCTCTCTGAGCCTGCCAGCGCCCTCTCTAGACAACCCTGCGCTGCCACCATGCACCCCTCTCTTTCTCTCCGCTCCCGCTCCGCCTCCCCGTCCCCCTCCTCCTCTTCCCTCCCTTCCTCCTCCCCAAATCCTTCGTCGTCGTCGCCCTCCTCCTCCTCTTCTCCCCCACTCCCTTCCCCACCCCATCTCCAGCTGCCCCCCTCCTCCCGCTCACCATCCCCCCTGCTCTCCTTCCTTCCCTCCTCTCTCTTCCCTGTACCTACCCCCTTATCCTCGTCTCTCACATCATTACCTTCATCCAACCCGCCCTCTGTTCTCATTTCTCCGTCTGCCTTCCATCCCACCTGCTGCTCCTTCCACTCTTTCTCTGTCCTGCTTTCCCTAGTGCTTGCCACTGCACCACTGCCCACACTAGCCCCTCTCTCTCCAACCCCTTTCTCTCCAGGCTCCCCTGCCCTCCCTCCCCTCCATCCTCCCCCCTCCGTCCGCCTCTCCCCCGCCTGCCCTTCCCTACCTCTATACTGCTCATATAACTGCATTAGCTGCTCTGCATCCCTCTGCGTCTTCTTCCCTTCCTCCGCACCTCCCTCCTTCCCTCCTCCCCCCATTACCCTACTCTGTCCTGCTCCCCCTTCTCCCACCAAGCCCCCCTCTTCTCCCCCACTCTCAGCCCCTAAGCCCAAATCAGCACCAGGGGAGTGGAACGGCAGAGAGAAGGGCAGGGACTGGGTAGCAGTGTCAGCAGCGCTAACAAGGAGGGCAGTAGAAGGGTGGGTGGCAGGCTGGGCGGTAGTAGTGTGGGCAATAGCAAAAAGGACGGCAGCACTCTTTTTACCCTCATTGCATGCACCACTTGGGCTCTGAACGGTGCTCTGTTCCACAGGAGTGGTTCGGCCAGGTTTGATGTGGTGGGGAGGGGTGGTGGCATTAGCCATGGTGGCGCTAGCAGTGGTGGCACTAGCAACGGTGGTGCGAGCAGTGGTGGCATGGGCAGTGTTGTTAATGGCAGTCCCAACAGAGACGCTGGTAATGGTGGCGGGAGTGCTAGTGGCGACGGTGGCAGCAGTGGTGCTGGCAGGGGTGACAGTTGCAGCAGCGGTGCTTGCAGCAGCTGTGGTGGCAGCAGTAGGGGCAGAGGACCCAGATGCAAGGGAATAAGTCCGCATCTGAGCGGGTATGGAAGAGTCTAATGCTGCTGCTGGTGCCGCTGGTGCTGCTGGTGGTGTTGCCGCTGGTGCTGCTGGCGCTGCTGCCCCAGCAACAGACAAAGAAGAGAATCGGCGCACGGCAGTGGGAGACGCAGAGGCAAGAACGTACCGGCCGCCACCCTGAAGCATCTGCCCTGGAGAGCTGACGCGCGTGGGAGGATGAGGAGCAAGCGGGGAAGGAACGCTGGGTGCATGGGCGGGGGAGGGAGTTGGTGAGGGGGTGTGTGTGAGAGGGCGAGTGGGGGAGGATGTGGGGAGTGAGAGAGCAGCTGGGGATGCTGGTTTGGTTGGAGGCGGCATGGATGGGGAAGAGCATGGGCCAGTACGGGCGGAAGAGCGGGAGGACGGGAGGGAGGAAGGGCGGGAGGAAGAGCGGGAGGAATATGGGATGGAAGCATCAGGTAGTTGGGCTGTAGAGTGTCTCTCGACCTGTGCCGTCGCATTATTGCTTGCAGCAGCCCCACCAGCACCACAAGCAGCAGCAGCGGCAGCAACTCTGGAAGCAGCAACGGTGGTGGCAGAAGCAGCAGCGGTGGCAGGAGCAGAAGGGAGAGGGGTAAGGCGTGTGTTGGTGCGAGAAATGGCAGCACGGAGGGTCCTCACATGCGCGCTGCCATACTGCTGCAGTGGTCGCGAGAACTGGGCGAAATTCAACACCGGCTTTACCGACCCTGCTCCCGCTCCCCTTGCTCCCTTGGTTGCCCCTGCCCCCACTCCCCCCACTCCCCCAGCTCCCCCAGTGCTCCCTCCCCCTGCACCCGCCCCTCCTGATTCTCCCCCACCTCCTACTCCCCTTCCCACACACACTCCCTCAGATCTCCCTGCCGCCCCTGCTCTCCCCATTTGCATAGCTCCCCCCTTCCCCGTGCCCCTGGCGTCTCCCGTTCTCGCTGTCGCACCACAGGCCGCCCCTGCTCCCTCTCCTCCTGCCCCCGTACCAGCACCCGCAGTAGCGGCAGCAATTTCAGCACCAGCAGCAGCAGCAGCGGCGGTACCAGCAGCAGTAGCAGCAGCAGAATCAGGAGAGAGCGGGGAAGGTATAGAGTCAAAGAGGGAGGAGAGGAGCGCGTCTCCCTCGTGGGATGGCATGTGGGAGAACAGCGGAGGGGAGGCAGCAGCAGCGGCGAGAGAGTGAGAGAAGAGAGGAGACAGAGAACCCTGCTCAGGAAAAGCTTCTGTTCCTTCAACTGCTGGTGCTGCTGCTGCTGCTGCTGCTGTTGTTGTTGTTGTTGTCGCTGTTGTTGTTTCTGCTGCTGTTGCAGAAACAGGAGCCACACCTGATGCCGCCGAGCCTGCTGCTCCTGTTGCGGTATCTGAACCCGAACCTACAGTGCCAGGTCCGGCCGCACGAATCATCACTTCTGCAGCCATACCAGCAATACTGCGAGCAACATCACCATCACCACCCACAACACCTGCTTCCCCAAATCCCTCTCCCGCCTGCCCGCTCCGCTCCAACTCCCCCCCAGAACCAGCAGCCTGCGCTTCGGTGAAATGCTGCACTCCCCCCACCACCCCTCCGCCCTCCCTTCCTCCCACACCCCAAATCGACGCGGACGCACGAGCAGCCGTGATAGCAGCAGCAGTGGAGGAAGCTGAAAGGTGGTGGTGGGAGGAGTGGGCGCGGGCGGGCGCGGAGGGGGCGAGCGCGGGCACGGGGGGGAGCTTCCGCAGGGTGCTGCGGCGCATGGCACTGTACCCGCCAGTTGCTCGCCTGGGGAAACACGGGCGAGGGGGGGATGCTGCTGCTGCAGCTGCCGGCGATGCTGGTGCTGCTGCGGCGGCGGTGGCAGCTGCTGGGAGAACAGATGCTGATGCTAATGCTGCTGCTGTTGGTAATGCTGCTGCTGCTGCTGCTGCTCCTCCTGCTGTTGTCTTGATTACAGTTGATGCAGGTGACTTGGACGCTACCTCTCCTCTCCCTCCGCCTCCGCCTCCCCGTCCTCCTCCTCCCTGCCTCGCCCCATGCCCTCTATTCACACGAAACCACGCATCCAAGCCCTCCTCCTCCTCTTCCTGCTGCTTCGCCTGGCCACCACTCAAACCCTGCTCATGGCCATGCCCGTGCCCATGCCCATCTCTCGCGAACACTCCTTGGGGAACGGCCTCATGCCCCTCTGCCCCTCGCCCCTCCAAACCCATACCCAACCCCGTCCCCGCTCCCACTCCCTTCCCTCCTTCCCCTCCTAGGAAGCTGGGATCCGAAGGGAGGGAGAGGGAGGAGGAGGGGAGGTGGTGGAGGAGGCGGGAGTGGGGGAGCGCGGCAGAAGGGCGCGCGTAGGGCGGCCAGAGGGACGTAGGGAGCTTCTTGTGGGGGAGGTCGGGGAAGGAGAGAGTGGTGGAGGGCGGCCAAGAGGGGTCCAGCAGTAGTTGCTCGTGGTCCGGGCTGCACAGGGAGGGGCGGGGTTGGGGAAGCGGCGGGAGAGCGGAGGGGAAACGGAGAGAGGGGGAAGGGGGCCGAGAGTTGGAGAGAAAGGGAGAGGGAGAGGAAGAAAGGGGGGAAGGGAGAGGGAGTAAGGAAGTGGGAGAGAGGTTGGAGTGGGAGAGAGGGGGGAAGAGAGAGGGAGAGCGGGGGGTAGTGTGGAGGCGAAATGGGAAAGGAAGGGCGAGCGAAAGGAGGGGAGGGATAGGGGAGGAGGGGGCAACGGGGCAGAGAAATGGGAGGGAGGAGAGGGAGAACGGGAAGAGTCAGTGCCACTTCGTGTGGTAGTTAGTGATTAGTGTGACACCGACAGGGAAGGGTATGTCACAAGGACAGTAAGGGCATCAATAACTGGAAACCCTGAAAAAAATATGCTGGCTAGTATCATAGGCATTCTTGCCCTTGTGCTCATGGCTTTAAGCCAGGGCAGTCCATGCACGCCGCATCGACACGCTTGGATAGGCTATATGTGCTATTGTATCAGCACGACAAACCCGATAGCCCCGACAGCCCCCCACAGCCTCCAACGGTCCCAAATAGCTGGATGGTGCACCAATAACAGCACAGACGCGGATGCTCAAGTCGCCGTTAGTAAACGCGTTAACTCTAACAGCAAATCGGTTTCGCTGTTATCTTTCGCAGCAGCGAAAGCGGACAGGAGAAAGAGGGGGGGAAGCGCAAGAGAACTCAAGTGCAGGACAAAGCCCCCTTCCCCTCGCCCCCTGGGACCCTAAACCGAAGTGCGGGAACTCAAGTGCGGGACACAGCCAGAGCGATTCCGCAGCGTGCGCGGCATGAGCTTTGCATCCCGCACGCGCGCGTGTCAATCACAAAGACGCAAGAAGCGCGAGCACGGGGGTGAGAGAGCGAGAGACGCGGCGACGACGGAAACCGTGACGAGATATAAGGCAAGAACCCGGAGAGAGACCGAGACACGAGAACGCGTGAGAGGTGGTGAGGGGGGCGAGGCGGCGAACAGAAAGAGGCGACAGGGGAGGCGGCGAGAGGAAAGCGGCGAGAGGGGAGCTGGAAGTAGGGATGTCAGGGAGACAGAGGAGGGCATCGCAGAAAGAAATTCGATCGCGAAACGACGGAACAGCCGCGTGGAAAAAAAAGGAATGATGGGCCAACTCACACGAAGCTATCAGGTGCTTCATCCATGGCGCCCGCAACAGCAGCCGCAGCAGCAGCAGCTGCAGCGGACTCCGCGCCGCTGTCGCCCAACATGACTCCATCCTTGCCAAACGCTGCCCACTTCTCCTGCAATCCCTCGTGAAGCTCCTCCCGCGTCCGCTTCCCCAGCAACGATTCGTGCCGCGCACCGCTCGCCGCCGCCACTGCCGCCGCCGTCGGAGACAGCGGCGGTAGCGGTGACGTCCGCGCGGCGAGAGATGTGCCGTGCTCTTGCCGCGGCTGCTGCGGCGTGGGTCGCCTGTTCATGTTTTGCTGATCAGTCGCCGCAGGATCGACGAGCGGGGAACCCGTAGACCTTTTAGACAGAATGAACACTTGTGCTGTGACTATAAACCCCTTGAAAAAAAATAACCCACGTACATACGATATTTTATTTACAGCGACGTTATCATTAGGAATTAAATTTTAAGTACAGATTTGCTGGCAACGAATACAAGCGCGACTTGACGAGTCAGAAGTTCCGGTACGAAACCTGTTTCGGGCGAAATACAGAGGAGAGGGGACAGGAAAAGGGAAGAGCGGAAACTTAAAACGCGACGTGAGAAGCCATGAGTACGCAGGTGATGAAAGCAGCAGCTTTTGGATCAAGACCCAAAGTGAACACTAGAAAAGCGGCACCTTTCGTAACAAGCCGCAACGTCGGAATCTCAATCCTCTGCGCACTTCACGGAAAGCGGACCGCTCGGCTTTGCAAAAAGCAGGGCTCGGAAAGAGCTCAAGACAGCTAAAGTGCTCTTGCCGCGTCTCCTCCCACACTACGTCGGCGCGCGGGCTGAAGCAATTAAACTCCCAACTTGGCGTAAAAGCCAGAGCAAGCTGCTAGGGTTTGAATGATATGATACCTGATCAATAGGGCTTGCGCTGCTGATTTGCGAATCTGAATCGGAAGATGCTTGCTTGGCACGTAACGACGCTCGACCAGGGCACGTGGAATGATAACCTTTCTCGTCCGGAATGGCCGACTGTCGTTATACCTTCTCCGCTTTACGAATGGCGGCAATCGTCGATAGTGAAACCGAATCTCGATCGTACGAACATTAGGTGCGCTTACAGTCTTTGTAGCCGCTGCCTCAAAACGAGATCGAAACGTCGGGAACCAACGCCATGCACGAATTGTCTACGCGTCGGGATTAGTTCAGGCAGTCTGGATAAATATCCCAGTTTCAACTAGATTGTCTCGTAGTAGCGAGAGGGCTCGCTTCGTCTTGTCACGTCACCGTCCTCCCTTGTGTCTTTCTACGCATGGCCTGCACTGTCAGTTGAGAGGTCCGTCTCTATGTACTCACCGCGGCCCGCGACTCTCCCTCTATCATTCTTGCAACCAGCTGCTGACTCAAAACGAGCTGGCATGGGCGACAGACAGCACCAGACCCCCCTACGTTCTCTTTCGCCTTGTCAGCCATCCAAGGTAACTCCATAGTCCAGGCCAAGCACAAATTCAATAGGGTACCCCCACAAGAAAAGAGAGCTGGCTGGCTGGAGTCCCGCAAATCCCAGCCCCATTCCGCTCCACGTCGCGCCGCCTCGTGGTCGCAACACCCCCGCAGCATGTGAGTCGACCGCGTTCCCGATCATGCAAGCTGGCTGAATATGCAAGATTGGATGGTTCCTTCCTTCCCTCCTTCCCTCAATTCGCCCCGTTGAACCGAACCGAAACTCGCCGTCGAACTGGCCTCCTAAATCCATGCATACTCTCTCCCCCCAGCGCCATGAATATCTCACCTAGTTGATTCGGGAAGGAATCGTGCAAACGGTGGGGGGGAAAGCCTGGATGCACAGTGGACGGTGTGCACCATGGTGGCTACAGTGAATTACACAGAATATGCACAAAAATCAAACGTTTTTCGCGGATGTAAGGCTTGTATTACCCACACTTTGTCATATTTGATGTATCGTTTGACCCTTTAGACGGTATACAGTTACAAATACAAACTTGTATAAGAAACAACACTCACTCTGATAGTGATTATTCCAGCCATATTAGACTAGTTGTATGATTTCATTTCGGTAAAAAAATATGCACCTCTATGAAACTTTCGTAATGCGGTGTTACTTTAGAATTATATTTTTCAGTCTTACTATGATTGCATATATTTCAACTAAAATCAATTAATATATGGTCTGTAGAACTATACATGGCATTTCGTGTTTGTCGAAGAGTTGTTAAATAGATGTGTTGTATTGCAATCATCATTTCCAAACAATATAGGTCCACGTTGTCGGGCGGGGGAGATCCTCTAATTGGGTACAGCAATCCGAGTTCTAGCAGTACTGTACACTACAACGTTTGTTTCTGTGTGGAAAAGGTTATAAAATCGTGGAGACAAGACTGCTGGAATGCGTATTGTAAACAGATTTACATCCGCAATTTTAATACAGCACTGTGCGAAGATCGGTCCTTGTCGCTGTACGCCTACCCAACTAAAAATTTTGTTCAAGGCATCAGACTCGAAGTACAGAGAGCGGCGAGTCACCAACACCCCCGTTGTCCACTTGCCGCCTGCTTGAATCATGCAAGGACCAGTGCTTGAATCTCCAAGCTCCATAATTTTGAAGCATTCTTTACTCTTTTCTTTTTCGAGGTATGGAAGTACACCGAAGGAAGCATCTACCCCGATGTGAGCAATCTGTACTGGTTTCGTCCCAGTCTTCGAAACCGTTTCTAGGAATGCTTCTACTTGTAGGTATTTGAGCATCAAACTCATGCACAGCAATTTCGAAGGTCGAGCGAAGCATTCTCAATCACCTCCTTGGAGCTGAGAATTGAATTACGATATAACACTAGCCTTCAAACCTACTCCGAAATTTCCGATTCCAGGTTTCTTGTGAAATAACGTTTCCGTGTTCCCTGGCGGACTCACATGCCACGTATGCGCGTCGTAATACTGTACGTCAGCAGCATCTTCCCCATAGAGCATGATTTTCCTTCAGCATCAACCCTGTGACTCTGTGATGTCACCGAACGATCACATGAATCAGTTGCATGGATAGAATCTAACCGCCGCATGATTCGAGGAAATGATTCAGCACGTGATGATAGTGAATTGTTGCCACGTCCTTTCCTCACTCGATATTTTATTAAAAAAAACCCATCTAAACATACAAGATCTGCAAACATGTGCACTATAATATGTAAAGGGAAAGTATATGGGTTGGGCCCGCGTTTGGTCACGGGGGTATCACGAACAGTCACAGTACACCTCGTAACTATCGCGTGTGATCACAGTGTTATCAAGGATAGTCACACCTTGCCCCGCATGTCTATCACGTTTGGTCATAGATGAAACGCCTTATCGAAAATGGTAACTACTTGAGTCACTATAGGGAGTCAGGGGGAAATTTATCACACGCACCGTTTTGTCCGTAGTGCTGTACTTACGAAATGTTTCTGTGGTGAATCTCGTTAGCTCGCTAAAAACATCTACAATTTCTCAGCAAAATCGGAAAGTTAACTATTTGCGCATCGTTCAATGTCCAGCTGTCTACTGTTCGATTCATGCATAACGGTCAGAAACTGAATTGTGTGTTCATTGATGTGGGTTGGGGTACATATAGCAAATCCTAATATTTGTACCCCCCAAGACAAGCCTCACTACAGGCTACATCATTTGACACACCCACATAGCCCAAGTGAGGGGTGTCTAGCTAAGACAAAGAAGTACAGTCACGTGAGGGGTGTCTAGCATAGACAAAAGAGCACGGTCACAAGACCAGTCACAAACAAACAAAGCCCGTGGTGGATCAAAACGCCACGACACATTCCGAGCCCAAGCAAAGGGCCACATGGCCAGTTCAAGAGTTCACAGATAAATGAGTAATGAGTACAAGACAATAAGCAACTACCATGCAAGACGAGAACCAGAGTCAAAGAGACCTATGTCAGAACATTGTAGCTTACTCATTTCTGTAGGCTATAGTGGGGTATCCCATAGGGGGTACAACCCAATTAGGGTTTCATATTTGTACCCACTTCATTTCATAGTCATTCATTCACGTTCATATTTTCTCATGGTATCAGAGCAGGTCCCTTCCTAGGGACTGTTCCTAGGGCCCACCGAAGCGCGCCCCGAGGCGCGCGTTTTTTTTTAGCGACCCTCCGTGTCGCCCTTACCGCCGTGCTCTCGCTTAGGCCCCTCGTCGGCCCCGCTTAGGCCCCTCGTCGGCCCCGCTTAGGCCCCTCGTCGGCCCCGCTTAGGCCCCTAGTCGACCCCACTTAGGCCTCGTCGGCCCCACGTAGGCCCCGTCGGCCCCGCTTAGGCCCCGCTTCGGCCCCGCGTCGGCCCCGCTTAAGCCCCGTCGGCCCCGCTTAGGCCCCGCTACGGCCCCTCGTCGGCCCCAGTTAGGCCCTGTCGGCCCCGCTTAGGCCTCGTCGGCCCCGCTTAGGCCCCGCTACGGCCCCGCGTCGGCCCCGCTTAGGCCCCGTCGGCCCGCCTAGGCCCCGCTACAGCCCGCCGCCGGCCCCGCTACAGCCCGCTGTCGGCTCCGCCCCAGCCCGCCGCCGGTCCCGCTACAGCCCGCCGTCGGCCCCGCTACAGCCCGCCGCCGGCCCCGCTACAGCCCGCCGTCGGCCCGCCGTCGGCCCCGCTACAACCCGCCGTCGGCCCCGCTACAGCCCCGCTACAGCCCGCCGCCGGCCCCGCTACAGCCCCGCTACGGCCCGCCGTCGGCCCCGCCGCCCGTGCTGCAGCCCGCCGCGCCACCGTGCAGCCGCCCGTGCAGCCGCCCACCGTGCCGCCCGTGAGCAGCCCCAGCCGCCCGTGAGCCGCCCGTGCAGCCGCCCGCGCCGCCCGTGAGCCCCTGCGTCACCCGAGCCGCGCGAGCCGCCCGAGCCGCCCGAGCCGCCCGAGCCGCCAGTGGAGCCGCACTCCTGCTCCTGTGGGGCCACTGCTGCTCCTGGGCTGTGTTACAGTGCCGCTGAACTACCCGACTTTTTTCCTGCCCGGTGAGACTGTCAGCTGCTGTCATGGCCACCCCCACTGTCCTAGCTTTTGACCCTGAGGGTAGAGCCATTGACTTTGCAGTCTGGATTGAAGACCTGCAGCTGTACTTACTGTGTGATGCGATAGATGAGGTCTCTCTCTTTGACTTTGTCTCTGGCGCTGTCCCTGCCCCTCCTGCTGATGCTGACCCCGCCGTTCGCTCCAAGTGGGCGACCCGCGATGCTGCTGCACGTCTTGCTGTGCGTCGCCACCTCCCTTCCTCCGAGCGTGCCCACTTTAGTCAGTGCAAGACCGCTCAGGCCTTGTACGGCGCTGTAGTTGCACGCTACTCCTCCCCTTCATCTGCTACGCTTAGCCGCCTCATGCTACCGTTTCTCTTCCCTGACCTCGCTGCCTTTCCCACTGTTGCTGACCTTGTTACCCACCTCCGCGCTAGTGACGCTCGCTACCGCGCTGCCCTTCCTGCTGAGTTCCGCGCCGCAAACCCTCCTCCCATGTACATCACTCTCTACTTTCTCGTCACTCGTCTCCCTGAGTCCCTTCGTGTAGTTAGGGACCAGTTTCTCTCTGTCTGTCCCACCACCCTCACTGTCGACCTCCTTGAGGAGTCCCTGCTAGCGGCTGAGAAGAGCATCGTCGCTGTAGGGGCCTCTCGGGGTGACCCTCGCACCCCCATTTTTGAGGGGTGTTCTCCTTCCCCCCTGCTGCCCTCTGTCGCCTCTGCCGCTGCGGCCGACCTCGCTGGTTTTGAGTCGGTCGGTGCGGCGTCTGCCCCCAGCGGTAGACGCCGTAATGGCAAGGGCAAAGGGGGCAAGGGAGCGGGTGGAGCTAGAGGGGGCGGTGGCGGGGGAGGTGGGGGTGGCGGGGGGAGTGGGGGTGGCGGTGGAGGTGGTGGCGGGAGTGGAGGTACTGGTGGAGGCGGTGGAGGCGGAGGTGGCGGCGGAGGAGGTAGCGGAGGAGGCGGGGGTGAGGGTGCCGGTGGGGGCGGTGGCGGTGGAGACGGGGGTGGCGGTGGAGGCGGGGGTGGCGGTGGCGGCGGGGGTCGGAGTGGCTCGTCTCAGCGGAGCAGCTCTGGGGGTGGTCAGCGCCAGCAGCAGCAGCAGCAGCAGCAGCAGCCACAGCATCAGCAGCGCTCTCGCACCGTCCCCGCCCCTCAGCAGCTCCGTGAGTGGTACTTGCAGCGTCAGCGTGGTGGTGCGTTTGGTCCCTGCCCCTACGTTCTTCGCACCGGCGACCGTGCGGGGGAGAGGTGTGGAGGCACCCACACAGCCCGCCGCTGCTTTGGCCGCCTGACCGACGCCTGGCGTCAGCAGTTTCCGGAGGCCGCTGAGATCCCCCGCTGGGGGGAGCTGTCTAGGGCTGGTGTAGCTATTTATGATCTTGACTTTGATGCTATTCTTTCTGCTATGTATGCTGTGACTGGTGTGATGAGGATGACTGTTACCGGTGTTTCCCGCCCGACC